ACTAGATGGAATCATGGAGGATCGTAGAATTCGGTGAGCTGACTACATTAACCATGAGTATTTCAGAGCTGACTTTCCAGGAGAAAATCCAACACGCTAAGATGGCTGACTCATTTTTTCGCAGGAAACCATGGCATCTAGTTCTGCTGCTGTCAGTACCAACCCTTTTGGCATCCCCAGTATCGACTATAATAAGACCTTCGTGCAGAACCTCGAGTTGAATGCCCCCCCGCCCTTGCTGGATGTTTCAGACTCCCCAAGTCTATAGCTGTCTGGAAGCTTATTAATGAGGACAAGGACACAAAGGATATCATCAATACATACATCACCCACCGTGTGAACAATTACAGCCTCGCGGAGGATTATGGTAAGTAGCCCATGCGAAACAAGGTTATCCAGTGGTCGCAGGATGCCAACATTTTTCCCGCTCTCATGGCCCCTACCACCGTGCCAAGGGTTGGCATTCTCAAAGTCAAGGACAAGTCGCTCCCGGAGCTAACAGTCCTGTAGTATACCATTCAACTCATGAGGGCGAAGCCATCGTTATTCCCCCGCACGAAGCGACGAGCACACTGTGGGAAGGGCTGATGTCACAACTTCCTGGCGCACCAAACAGCTGCTCGACAGCAGGCACAACCAGACAGCGAAGATGAGCTGAATGCTCCCGCGCAACCAAACCCTACGCCGCCGTCCACGATGTCTTACTAATACAATTTTCCATACTATTGGAAATCGTTTTGATCGACTGAACCATAATGGGATAGTTACGAATGGCTTGAGTGGCTTCGTCGGACATGGTGAAACCCTGGTGGCAAGAACTTTGGGACGATCACTGAACAACACAAGAGAAAGAGCGAAGAAAAGGAACCGGCGACATACAGAACAGAATGCTGAGTGGCGAGGCGCATGGTATGCTGAAGTATAGCACTGCACATCCCAAAAAGGATGAATGGGATGCAGCTGACCATCTTGCCCGCTTTCACTATAACGTAAAAAATGCCAACATCTGCTCGCGCAAGGGCGTCTTCTTTGGCAAAGACTGGGGGGCTTACATCATGTATGACCCTTGCCTTCCGTTTCCCAAGTTTGCTGTCCCGCCAGGTGGCTTTTTGATGAACGATGGTGCGTGCATTTTGACGGGCGAGCTCTTGACGGCCCGAACAATTTTAGCAGAATACTGCGCATATGATGCCGTAATCAAAGAGGCTTTTTGGTTGAGAAAACTATTGGGAGCACTACGTTTGGATACGTTGATCTGTCGACCCCGATAAACACGGCTAGTGACAACGCGTTTGATATCGTACACAAGAAGGGATTCCAACCACCGATTAGGTATCTCTTCGCCAAAGATGCGGTTCAACAGGTCCTTGTCTATTTTATATTGATTGATGGAAACGATAACCCCGCTGACGGCCTAACCAAGCCGTTATCTGTGTCTGGTTATGAACAGTTCCGGAATATGCTGCATATGACGAAAGTTGATTCCATAGAAGACGAGCTACCGAAACAGTTTGATTGGATAAGGCACCATAGTATGTTCCAGGAACCAACCCGTATACATAGGGAACCCCTATGTGGTGGATCCCGTGTGACTAGGTCTACCTCGCTACGCAGTAACTCTACTGTAGCATCATCATCATCATTCATCACCATTGAATACCATCAAACAACCATATACAAGGGCCTGCCCCACAATGATTCTTCAATACTGATGGAGAGTGCCTCAGAGACCCAAGGCAAGCTGGCCAGCGATGCCTGTCCAAGTTGTATCTTCTTGCATGAATGGTAGTAAATAAGTCATCATATAATACAGTAAACCGCATGGAACCATATGGAATGTTCTCAGCAAACAGCCCAAACAGAGCAGAGAAGCTCTGACGATATGGCAAGGTTGCTGCCACCTGTTCTCCTTTACGCACGCAGCCTGCGTGCACACTCATTTTATACACACCACATTCATTTATATCCTCTAGAAGGCCGCACTACGCACTTATATTTACAACACAGTACCACCCTTGATGGGAGATTTACTTCTTTATTTCAATGGTCCTTTCACGTTTACAATTCTTATTCGTTACCAGCGTCCGTCAATGGCTGATACCCTGACGTAAGCTGACTGCACAGGATGGGATCATTCTCTTGTATGTCTTCTATGCTTCTACAGATGCCACTGTATTTAAAGGCATTATAGCTCAGCTACCTCCAGCATTGTGGATAATGGCTAGAACTAAAATCTATCCTAGTCATAGACAATGCACCATTTCACTAGTTAGAATGACTTAAACAAATATGCGCGGAAGCAGGGGTGAGCTGGTCTATTATTTCTGGGAATCAACTCTGAAAAGTGAGAGGTCACACTGAATTCGATAACTACTGTAACCTTCAACGTTCCACTGACTTTCTTCTCAAACCAGCGGTGAGATCATCGTAGGACGTGTCATATTTATGCAAGACTCTGCTGATAGTCTGAAGATCTGCATGCAGTGACACTACGTAGTACAGATTCGTGGTCTACTTGTAGAAAGAAAGTTTGTTTTGCAGTGTACAAGCCTCAATGCCTAATTCAATACAACTATCTGAACCTTGACCCATATACATACAGTATCAGTCAACATACACGGGGGAACTATGATTATGAATGATTGTGTCAGTGGCCATTGGTCCATTATAAAGGTTTCCTCCCATGCTGATATCAAAGGCCTAATTTTTCCTTCAAGCAATTACTACCACTCTCGCCCAGAGTTATATCTGCTATCTTCCGACCATTCAACTTACGATCATAATTCCAAATCCATCTTTAATATGCTATTTACTATCTTTTACCTGTTGCCTGCTGTCTTAGCCAGGTCATCCGACTGCCTGCGCGCTAGTATGTCTCCCTACAAGAACTTTTCATTCCCTCTCAATGTGCATTTGTTAGATGGGTTTCCTTTCTTGCGGAGTCCATGAATTGCTTCTTTATTCTGGCTTTATAAAAATTTCTTAATACGCCTTCAAAGTCAACTCCCCTTTCATAATAGTCCACGCCTGCCGTGGCTATGTGTATGATTAATGCTAACTTCATCGACTGATAAGCCGCGGAATTCGAAGGTCAAATTTCGGGAACTCTAGTCTTGCAGCAGTGCGACGACATACTTCAGATCGAGGGCAACTTGTCTGGCGCACCCTTTGGAAGTCATGGAATCCATATTCATGAGCTTGGAAACACCGGCAACCAATGTGCCGATGCGGGTGGTCACTGTATGTCTATCACCAATCCAACCCTCCTCAGTGGCTGCAGAAGAAAAGTGAAAGCCTCCCGGGATCACTTACTAATTCTTGAATAAATATAGACAATCCAGAAAATGTAGACCACGGAGGACCCAATGATGCAGTGCGTCACGTTGGTGACTTGGGAAACATTGACATTCAGACGTCGCCTTATCATCTTAGAATAGAAGATCATGTTGCTCAGCTTCATGGTCCGCACTCTGTACTGGATGTAAGTAAGAGCCTAGATATATCATCATCTACCTTGCTAACAAAAAGAAAATAGAGATCGATAGTTATTCACGAGGGTACAGACGATCTCGGTAGAGGCGGCAATGCAGCTTCAAGAGCAAATGGTAATTCAGGGGCACGTATGGCTTGTGGTATGTGCATGAGGGTTTCTTAACTCTACGCTACTGATTTACAGAGGCTAACATACTTTATCAGCCGTTATCCGGGCAGCTTAGACCCGGCAACGACACAACTGAGGCCGCTACTGTTCCTTCAAGCCAATGTTGACTGTCGGGTCGAGGAGGTGGCATTTTACCATTGGGGTCAAGCCCATGCAGTGTCCACCCAATACCCAATATGCTTTGTATGGTAGATTTGGTCAAATGCAGAACACTGGCGGCATAACATGTCAATACTACGGAGTAGCCTTTCAGGCTAACAGACACCCTTACTGTAACGTCGACCTCCTAGATAGTTCTTCAATCAGTCAAGTGAATTGGTTCCTTTAGTGCTCGCCCGTACGGACACCCCAAACCTATCAAGCATGTTGAAATGCCCTGAAGGAAGCAGCGGAGTGGAAGGGGTTACAAACAATGGGTCTACGCAAGGCTGACTTTGAAGGCTGAGTTGACGCTGTGTGCCCTGAAATGAGGAACGAGTGAAGAGCTTACTACAGTACCCAGCACGGAGGTGGCTGAATGCTTCAGGAGGAAAAGTGCAAACTGTCCAGTCACCACCATTCATTTGATCTTGCCGGGCCTGATTCGCATATCAAAGAAGAGGCAACGTACCTTGAAATCCGTGAAGCACTTGAAGCAGAACCTTTATCATCTGCTGCTCAGTTAAGCAACTGCCATTTGACCAACTTTTACCAGCATCCGATCAAAATGCCTAAGGAGCCATTTGAAATCCCATGTGCTGTTCGGTCCGCCTTGCACGCCAGGGGCAGACAGGAGACGTCTCTCACATGTTGACGTTCGTCTGAAAGCACCCTACAGCGGATTCGAGAGGCTCATGCGTGGGGCGGAGGGATGCGGCTCTGGGATTCTCTTGTTTGGGCTTTTTCTGCGGCATCGGAGAGATTTACACGATGAGTATTGATTTAAGAGTATGTTGAAGTTATTTATGAACTCGCCTGTTCTCGTGTGATGGCAGAGAGGCTTGGAGATATTGTGGTACACCATGAGCAGGCTCGTATTACGCTGTAGTTTTAAGGTTTCCTTGGGCTTCGAAAGCATGCTTCAAGTACGATGAAACATTAGAGATGACATGACTGAGGGCAGTTTTTGTTGTACCGGTAGACGACCATGGAAATTACAAGAATGAGAAGATCACTTCACCACAGGATTTGGATGCACAGCCGTGCATGTTGCCAATATAATCTTGCAAGATTATCCAATATTGATCTTTTGTACAAGTAGATTATATGGTTATGTATCTTGACTGTGGTTAGTCCGAGAGCTTCTTTGTCGTAACCACCTGAGTATCCAAGAGCGTGAATGGACCTGAATTCGCCCAGTCTACCACATCCTATCCATATTCATCTGATTCAACATATCAAAGAACCCGTAATCAACTGGTAGAGAGTCCAAAGCAGGAGGTAACCCCAGCGTCGACGGCAGACCTTCTTCATACTGAGGTAGAAACTCCGTATTCGCTCCGTCCACAATATCAAACCCCATAGACTGAGCAAAGAGATCACCTCCAGTCTGAGACTGCAGCTGGTCCGCTTTCTCCCCCCCTGGGAGCGTCAGGTTATACCTCGCACTCAACAACCGCCGCAGATTATTCCCAGTATGCCGTGCAGGCTGCCACGAGCCCGCCAGCTCCTCGAGAACACCCACACATACCTCGAGCCGGCTCTTCTGCGACGGAAGAATGTCCTCCCCATCGATGTCCTCAAGTAACACCGTCGCCGCGGAGAGCGTGCAATGCGTCGCGGTTATGGGGCTTAGATGGAAACTGCCAAACTGCTGGCGGTATTTCTGGGCGATGGTGCAGATGGCGCGGGCGGAGTCTGTGGAGACGGATTGTGCTTGCGTTTGTACCTCTGCGTTGGCGTCTGCATCGCTGGAGGCAGATTGATGCCTTATTGTGAATGGCTTGGCCAGGAGGATTCTAGCAGTGTGATAGACCATGTGCAGGGTATATGCGTGCGGAAGATGATTTGGCTGGTCGATCCGGAGCTCTGGAGGGAGATCGTAGAGCCAGGTTTTTAGGTCCAGAAGACAGGATTTGAGAAAGGCGGGTCGTTGGCGTTGGTTCAGGCTAGGCTTGGGGGCCCACCTGCTGTTGTCAGTTTCGTTGCTGTGTTGTGGTGGGAGACGTACAAGGACAGGAAGATCTTCTCGTAGGTTTGGCAGATGCGGATTAAAGCTGTCTGTAGGGAGAGAATGGCCTGCTCTCGGGGAGATGATGGCTCTGCATTACTGGGTAGGTTGACAGAGCCTTGGACGTCCTGCGTCTATTAGTCGACTGTGGGTTCAGACATGGACGAAGGACGAACCAGCATGGAGCAGACGCGCCCTGTATAGCTCGCAGAGAGCTTATCGTGACAGTATAGAGTCCAGTAAATCTGCCGTCGGAGTTGCATTTCCGTGGGACACATACTCACTGCTCTGTCGAAGGCAGCTGGGTCCAGGTTGAGTCCCATGTCAAGACTCAGCCTGTTCGCCATGCCGTGGTGCAGCCACCCGGCTGCATCAGCGCCTGTGGCCTGCAGAGTAAGTTGAGTAAGTCATCATCCAGTAAATATAGCAAACTTACAATATAAAACATCCCAATGAGGCCTAATGCCTGGATGGTCGCCAGGCGTGGTCGTTCCATTTCCCGATGAAGTAGAGTCTTGGCCTGTTCGAAGAAGAAGCGACCGGCCGTGTTGGGATCATTTGCGTCGGTACGGGTTTCGACGCGGTCGGAGTACCGTGACCCCATGGCGAGAATGCTGTACAGAAGCAGGGGTGTGAAGTAGCGACCTCTGTTCGCCATGCTGTCGCGGAAGAGATCCTCGTCCACGATCTGGTACCATGGTTGCTCCCAGGTGAAGTACAGATCGATCAAGTGATTTTCCAGCTCTGTGGGAATAAAAGCATCGTATGTCGTTGATCCAAAGGGCTCAGGTTCAACGCATGCCTTTGATTCCTTCTCTGGCGTGGCATCTTGGGCAACGAACTGGAGCCGTCCACTCGTCGGCCCAAAGAATCGCATCTCGCCGTCGTCGTCGAAATTAAGAGATTCATCGAGCGCAAGACGTCCCTTGAATTGATCGCATAGAGCCTCCATATATGATGAGACTTCTGCAGCATCCTCTTCAAGTGACTTCTCCGCGTCTGGATCGATGCCGCGTTTGGCCAGAAACTCCTCGAGAAATTCAATACGTTGCCGAAGCAGATCAACGTAGGACTTGGATGCAGGTCGTCTACCATCCTCATTTGAGGAGTATTGACAGGAGATACTCCATTGTAGACAACGAGAGCAGGATGGTTTTTTGCCGTCGCACTAGCGAGTCAGAATCATCGCATAATGGAGTCTAAGGGACTAATGCATGTCACACCTTTGCTCGACGACGACGACATTCCTCGCATGCTTTGGTGGTATATTTCCCTCGGGATTGTTTCTTTTCAGCTGGTGGCATTTTCATCAACAATACTCATCAATTGAAGATGACGTTGTCCGTAGAACTCAAATTCTCAATATCATGACGGCCAAGTAAACTCCGCATTATTAATCAAGTCTGTCCCCATCTCATCACCACTTATTTCCACACGAACAGATACACCAGCACCATCCCTGTAACTCATCACTTAATAGAATTTCTATCTACCGATATCACTTTGGTACATGAGCCACAACCTCAATCTCAATCCTCATATCATCCTCCCCCAACCTCGTCACCCCCACACACGTCCAAATCGGCTCATGCCCCGGAACCCACTTATGGAAATTCCGCACCATCGCGTCCAGCGCCTCGTTGTTGATCGGAACATGGTACGAGTTCACCCGGTACACCTGGCTCCAGCCCTCGCCGCCTGCGTTCCGTAAATTCATGTCCACGTTGGCGAAGGCTTGGTCAATTTGTGCGTTGATTTCGCGGGGGATGTTTCCTGTGCTGGGGTCCCAGCCTCCTATTTTCATATTGATCAGTATGGCCAGTGAGTATGAGTATTGGGGAGGAAGGTGGGGGAGTGATACCCTGTCCGGCGCATTCGATGCGGTCGCCGACGCGGACAGCTTGGCTGTATTTGAATTTGGATTGGTTGGCTTTTCCAACGCCTTCGTAGTTGTAGTAGGTTAGGTGGGACATTTTGCTTGATTGTACGTTGTATTGTAGTCTGGATAGATGAGGACTGAGTAGAAGAGGTGGCTTTTATATTGTTGCATTGGTTGTAGCGGAATATGTATTCCGCTGCCTACTCTGCTATGGATGATGTCATATATGTTGTGAACAACTAAATATTTATAAAAAGTTATCTAAGTCGTAAATCGTGAGTAGGGATGATCTATGATATATACATGCAATGCAATGAGGTATTACGAAAAATTAATGAGGAACACCGCCAGTTCCAAAAAGCTCCAGCTTCACCCGGTCCTCGCTCACGCCCTTGGATTTGAGGACACTCAGCATATCGGTCATGAACGTGTCGGGTCCGCAGACGTAGTATTCCGTCGCGGCATCATCCAGGAACAAATCCTGGTTGCCGTCCAACTTGCCCAGATCCACACGGCCGCGGTACTGGTAATCCTCGCCCTCCTTGTCCTCCTCCGTGGGGTGGCTAGTGAAAAAGGTTGATTTGAGGTTGGGCAGCTTCTTCTCGAGGGAGGTGATGTGGTTCTTGAATGCGCGCGCCTGTGCGTTTCTAGCGCCGTGGATGAAGCTGACTTTGCGCTCCGGGGACTCGGAGGTCAGAGTGTTGAGGATCGATGTCATGGGGGTCAGACCGACGCCGGCTGAGATGAGAACAACGGGGTTGGCGGCCTTGGCGTCGGAGAGGAAGAAGTCGCCGTACGGATGGGAGACCTTGATGGTGTCGCCCTCCTTGATGAAGTCGTGCAGGATGTTCGATACGTAGCCCGGGTGCGCTTTTGCGCCGGGCTCGGCGGGGTTCAGACCAGCCTCCTTCTTCACGCTGATGCGGTAGTAGTCTGACCGGGGCATGTCGCTGAGAGAGTACTGGCGCGCCTGGAGGTAGTTGAGCTCGGGGACGTGGATCTGCACGGAGATGTACTGTCCCGGCCGGAAAGCGGGCAGAGGCTTGCCGTCCACCGGCTTCAGGTAGAATGAGGTGATTTCCGAGGATTCAGGGACCTTCTGCGCGACGGTGAAGTCGCGGAAGTCGGTCCAGCCTTCGGCTTGCTCGTAGAGCTGGGCCTCGCGGCCGATCATGATGTCGGCCAGTTGCCAGTAGGCGGTGGCCCAGGCGTCGAGGATTTCCGGGGTGAGGGCATCGCCCAGGACCTGGCCCATTGCTTCGAGCAGGAACTTGCCGACAATCTTGTAGTCGTCAGGCTTGATGTATAGCGAGGCGTGTTTGTGGCACATGAGCTCGACCGCGGGTCCAAGAGCGCCCAGGTTGTCGATGTTGGAGGCATAGGCGAAGAGCGCGCCGGCCAGAGCACGAGGCTGGTGGCCACTGACCTGGTGGGCGGTGTTGAAGACATTATTCAGCTCGGGATGGGCAGTTAGCATGTTCTTGTAGAACACTGTTGTGATGGTTGTTCCATGCTCTACCAGTACAGGCACGGTGGCCTTGATGATTTGAACTTGCTCTGGTGTTAGAGGCATGATATGCACTTGAATGTGTTGTGAACCTAGTAATTTGAAAATTGGTTATTCTGAGAACTATCAAAGGCACAGTCGACGTCCAAAACTGCAGTATTTATACACAGCGCCACTTGCTGGTCCGTATGGTCGTGCCATATCGAAAATTTTCTGTGGTCCCCTTTTTTTTCTTTTTTTACCGCAGCCGAAGTGAGGGCAATGACATCTCCGCGGAGGCTTTGGTATAAGGTCAGGAACATGCAAAGTCGAGTTCGGTAACGGAGGAATCAGCGTGCAGGAATAGATAAGCAAACAGGCTCCACCACTCGCTACTCTTGCTGAGAGTCAGTTCACTACCAGCTATCAAAGAAGCTGTCGATCATCTTTATCACCGTTATCGAGAAGATGCTATCCAATAGTCGAGAGGTGAATCCTGCACGGCACTGCTCGACTGCACAGGCATTCTCCAGACTCCAGATGGTCTACTTCCATGCTACTCCGTATCCATCGCCCCATAGTTCAACTTTCTTATTCTACGTCGTTTTCGATTGGTCTCACCCAATAATTGCCGTTACTTACCTAACAATTAATAACCGAATAACCTAATGTCAGGCCACTTGCGAGCGGATCCAGTGCGAAGATTTTTCGGACCGGCGACGCAGGAATTTCTCGGCTCCGAGTACGGCCGCTACGGCGGACTCTAAACTCTTTATGTGCTCATCTTCTGAGGGTGACTTGTAGAATATGCTAGCATTCTTACCAGGCACCAATTCTCTATAGTTATTAATGTAATATTTAGATTGAGCCCCTTAGAAAGGTCCTAATAGTCTCATATATGTGTTAGCGCCTCAGGCTGGTCCAGATAACTACGGTATTGGATGGGAAGATATTCTGACATGGGCATATGGCTGTGGAAGCCGAAGAAAGCTTAGCGCCGAAGTGCTCGTCCCTTATTGCCAAACTGAGCTTAGCGTCTACAATATCCTGCGTCTACTTGTTTTCAAGTCATGGCTCTCAACCATCTTATATGTACCAGTATATACTAACCCAGCGTTCATGTTGACATAGAATACATGAAAATCGAAGGTTGGATAACTGTTCAAGACGGCAGCTCAATCGGAGGACGCGGTTGATTCCTCGAGCTTTGTTGTTCATGATCGATTGCTCCTGGGACTGAATCAGGACAAGGTAGCTCAGCCTCCCCTCTCCATTTCGGGGGCATAGATCCACCTGGATGAGATGATGCTGCTCTTTTCCTCAGTAATACAGTTCCAATTGCAAACGTCAATCCTACAATCAAAAGACCCCCAATCACCCCTCCGATGATAGCGCCTACCGGGGTCGTTGCTTTTGCCGTCCCTACCACAGTTCCAGGTGTCGTCGATGTCGACGTCGCAGGGTCTATAAAACTGCTCTGCTTCGTCGGCGTCGGGATAGAGGTAGTGGTTTTGGGGGGAGTTGTCGAGCTTGAAACTTGATTCGACGAAATATTGAAATAGTGACAGCTGAAACGGGTCGAGCCACGGTCGCCGCATAAACCATACATATAGTAGACGCCGGGGCCAGAAAGTCCCATGGTACTAACAGTCCATGCTATTGAGCCATTGTTGGGAGCGTCTGCTGCATGTCAACAGCTAGGCCGAGATCCAGGTCCGGTGCAGGACAATCTCACCTGCAATTTGACTACACCGCGCATCACGCTGAAACTGGCAGTCGCCACCGTTGTAATCCTTCATTAACCAAAGCTGGATGGACTCTTCGCAGCCGCTTTTCCACTTGATGTCAATCGACTGCCCGACAGTAAAAGCTAGATTCGATATGTATTGGCCGGTGTAACCATTCTGTGGTGGAAAGATGAATACATCCGCATCCGCGAAACTTTGCCGTGGGCACGCAGTTAATATGAAAACAAAGTGAAATACAAGAATTCTTGTCATGTAGCAGATTCTCCCGCTACGTCGCTTGAATGGCATGATTGTCTGCCATGAATAAACAAAGTTGGGATGCGATGGGAGGTCGAGAAGAGGAAGAACATTGGACCATAAATAGGTCTTACGTGAACCTGGGGACATGCAATCAATTGCTTCGACTGGTTTGCCTGAAAGGCTGAAACCGCGGGGCGCGTATTTGCTGGGTACAGTGCCCTAGCAATGCAACTCAGCAGGGCCAAACTCCCACAGGCAAGATCTTCGAGTGATTGGAAATGGGACGATGCAAGAACAGATTAATCATACGCTTATATCTTGGTTGTTTGCCGAACATCGCCATGGCGGTCACTACCTGATCAACAGCTACGGCAGTTTGGGACTTGTAGTGTTCCCAAATGATGTTGGCCTGGCCGCAGGCCATTCTCGGACGGTCAGACCGCTTCATCGAAGCGGGCAACCGCAGATAGCTGCTTGCATTGCAGCACATGGTGTAGGGCTTGTGCGATGCCCTAAACATGCTGCCGGTCTGCATACCATTAAGAGCTTGAATTCCAGTAGTCCACATGTGCTGAGTACAGGGAACAAGAGCCAAAGTAACGGCAGGACCAGGTACTAGATTCACTCAATTGGCGTCTCCTGATCGTTTTCAAATCATCAGCAAAAGCAATATCTCCTCGTGATGAGGTATCAGGGAAAATATTAACTTTCATGCGTATCTTTCAGAACACTGCCGGCATGGCATCCACTCCAATGCAGGCTGGTTGCACTGCAGCCTTGGCCCAGGTCCATAAGTGTCTCTGTGTCACACTGCAGGATCACTTTGCCTTGCTGGTAAGAAATTACTAATTTCAACGGAGACGAGTCTCAATTGCTCAGATGCCAGAAATTCCATGAGAGGGGCTCGCAGTGCTGATAACCAGATTGGCGTGGCAGCCTAGTGGTTGTTGT